GTTTTACGAGGTATTTCACTTAGACCAACTCGAGCCCTTTGTATTTGAATTGGGCGTGATTTATTTATTCGAGAGTGATTTGTACTAAGTGTGGGGGAGATGTATCGATGGTTCGTGAGCTTATATTGACAATTTGAGAGTGTTGGTGATTGGCCTTCGGTGTTGAGGTTTGTGGGGAGATTGTGTTGATTATTTGGGATATGTGGTGTTCGTGGCGTGTAGTGATTTCGTTAATTATTTGTCGTGCCATGGCAAGTACTATTATGGGGCTAGAGGCCCAATTTTCGAACTTTCACGCATACGTGTGTCTTCGTCGAGTTTGTGGTTTTCCGGTTTATTATCCCTCCGAGACACACACATATGGCCTTTACTCGGAGCCGGCGGATTATGCTTTTAATGTCTTAGTGCCCGGATAGCTTATGGTTCGATGTGCTTTCATTGTTCACACGGTCGGATGGCTTTATTTTTCACTTGAGGACCTTCGGATCATTTCTCGTTATCCCCACCGGACGAACACCATTAGACACACGGTGGAACACCACCGTGTAGAGTACGCATTTTCTTTTCCTATTTTCTTTTTTCTATTAGTTGCTCTTGTGTGTCTTCGTGTTTCCTTTCTTTTGTGTGTTCGTTTATTGTGTTTCGTTTTGTGTATCGCATGAGCTTACATGATTATGTTCTTTCTCCTATGCTTTTTTTTGGTCAAGCAATGAGGACATTGCTTTGTTTTAAGTGTGGGGGAGGGACTTAGAGACTATGCATGATTAGGCGATATTTCTTTCGTTTTTGGTGCTTTATTTTTCGTTTTTGTTGTGTCGTGGACCGGTTTTATTTGAGTTTTTTGTGTGTTTGTTTCACTTCTCTCCTGCATGAGGCTTGATGTTTGTTCAAGAGTCGAAATAGCTAAGTGGTGAGTCGAGATAGTTGATTGGTGCCATTATTAACGTTCGTGATTTATGTACTTGATGAATTGGACGGTGTCCTAAAATTGAATGAAGATTTGTTGACATGGGAACCCGCATGTGAATTCACGGAATTGTTTTATCCCTTGTTTATTCTCGATTGATGATCTTGAGACATACTTACCTTATGTTCGATTATTGTAAATGTGTTATGCTATACACTTGTGGTACGTTTTGATTGATTTGTGATGTTTATGATATTGTATTTGTGATGTATCCTTGTGTGCCACTCCATTCGAAAAAAAAAAAAGAATAAAATGTGAGTTCGCGAGGAGGTACGGACTAGGCTCCTCTTATCCCGAGCCACCTCGTGGAATGGGATAATGAGCCCGGGAAACCGGTCTAGGGAACTCGAGGAGAACCCTCGAGGTTAAACCTAGGTAAGCATTGTCTAGGAAACCTCGTTTGGAAAAAGAAGCTCACATAATAAAGAAAGAAAAAAATATAATAATAAAAAAAAATGAAAAAAAAAAAGAATGGGAGTTGGCTTATTGATTTTGTGCTTATCATCCTTATATGTTTAGTAGACCATCTATAGCTTTTTGCACGTGTATGTAGAAAAAGGAAGTTTGAATCGAGTAAGTCATGTGTAGGATAACTTGGGACGGATTTTTGTTTTGTATGGATTCACTATGTGGGGAACGTGTTTTCGGATTGGAGTTTGATTTTATGGATAACCGGATGAAGATGAGAGTTTCATTTCGCATGCTCGTTAATTTTGGACTTCTCAATTTTTCTTTTCGAGCTACTTGTTGTTTTGTTTGCTTGAGGACAAGCAAAGAGTTAAGTGTGGGGGAGTTGTTTATTGTGTTTTTGTACTTATTTTCGTGTGTTTTATGTACTTGAGTTTAGTATTTTTAGGTCCGGTTTAGTGTCAACCGGTCCATTTTATCATGTTTCGTGCATTTTTGCTTTCGTATTGTGTTTTCGTGGTTCGGCGTATTTTTTCTTGTCTTTTTGGTGTTGTTTAGGTCCACACGATTCGAGTTTAGGGAGACGAGCTATTTTCGAGACGTTCGAACCATGTCCGAGCCACGCGAACCATTTCCGAGCACATATACTAATTGCGCGTTGATATCAATTTGAACGTTTCAAGACGAGGAGAAAGAGATTTGTTGAGCGTGGGTCGAAGTTTCGAGTCAATCGGAGAAGCGTGCGAAAAGTTAGAGCAAATCGAGTGACAAGGGGTCACCGGGACCATGTCCAGCTCCCGACTCGCGCCACGAGTTCAGCCTCGCGCCCGTGGCACCCAACACTCGCGACCACGCGAGCGAGTCCGCGAGTCCACTGTCTCCCAGCGTCACCCGCGAGTTCTGGAGCCCGCGCCCACGAATCCCTTCCAGCCCGCGAGTGCTGCCAACCTGTTGCTCCTGCCCGCGAGTTCCAGAGTCCCGCGCCCGCGAACCGGCTGCTGCCCCGCGAGTTCCTCCAGGGCCGCGCATCGCCCGCGAGTTCCCTGTACCTGCGCCCGCGAACCACCTGCTACCCGCGAGTCCCGTGCCCAGGCTGCCTTGCTCGCGAAATTCAAGCCAAAACTCGCGAGGGAGCCTTAGCTCGCGAGTTTTCTCATTAAATGTGTGTGTTTTAGTGTGTGTTTGAGGTGTAGCTATAAATAGACTTGATGCTTTGTATTTTTAAAACAATTCCTCATTTGCTAAAATTTTCCTTTTAGTTTTTCTCTCCTCCTTCTCTCTAGTTCTCTTTCTCTCTCTAAGGGCTCTAAGACCCTATTTTTATTGTAATATTTCTCCATCAAGATTGCAACTTTCCGGCTTATTTCTTCTCGTGGATGCACTAGGGACTTGGAGACTTCGTTTAAGGTCCGATTGGAGACTTAGTTGAAGGTCCAAGATCTCGTGAGTCTTGTCTTGTCTTTACTTGTCGAATTCATTATAGGGTAAAGGTATGAGCTTTCATGAGTCGATTATGCTATCATCCTCGTAGGCTAGGGATTATGTGATTGTGCTATTGATTACGTTAGCTTATTTGCATGAGCGAGAATTGATTGAGAGATTGATTAGTTGATCGCGAGTGACGATTGCTTGATTACATGTTCCCGAATCTATGAGTGCCTTCTTTCCATCTCGGGTCTAGGGTACCTTGTTATCTTTCTCTCTATTTTCTCTTTTTCTTGCAATTTGAGGTGTTGCTTGTTTTAAATTACGAACCTTGATTTCTTTAGCTTAATCAAACCACCAAATCATGCGAATAGAATGTTTAGGATCTCTTATTTTTCTTTCGTGTGAGTCGATCGTTGCTTGAATCCGTGTCCGAATAGCCTTCCTTTGAGAACGACCCGAGTCCGGGTAGCTCGGTTACCACTTACCCAAAAATACTACAAACACGGATGACATAGCAAAATATCAAAATTAGTCTCATAACTATAGAGATGTTTCAATATTGGTCCTATTAAAAAAATCAATTGTTTTTTTATTTTCACATAATTGAAAGGAAAAACATTTCAAGGTAAGGCTCTCTTCTCTTTTACTCCTACTTTACAGCCGTCATCCAAAATTCTGTTCTAACTTAAGCATCGGAGGATCTATCATTGAGGACAACCATAGAGCTCTGTTTTGCAGACATCGGAGCAAAAGAAACGCATTAAGGAGGACATCGGAGAATATATCGTCACGACATGTTCTCGGATTAATGCCAGGTACTTTATATATCATCGTCAGTGAAAAAGGTGAAATAAAATAAAACTGTAAATTTTGTGTAACATCATAATAAGATAAATCTTCACTAAAATTAATCATTTGCATGTTTTGGAAGTGTTTTGTGCCTCCAAAATAAATCATGTGCATATTCAATTGTCCGAAGTGCTTGTGCCTCCGATTAAAATTTAAAAGAGTGGATGTGGGTGGATCCCACGAATATTTTTCGTGCTTTAAAATGAAAACTATATTCCTTTTACCCATATATATGCACGGGCATGCGACATCAATTTAATCAATTTATTAAAATCAAATAAAATTTAAATTTAATAATACAAATAACAATGAAAATAAACTATAGTTTACATTATATATATTTCAAGGTCCTCTCTATATAACAATATTTTAATATTTTTTATTAATCATTTTTAATATTATACATATATATATATATATATATTTCTTTTGCTTTAAACATTATATTCACATTCATTATTTTTAAATATTTGTTTTAAGTAAAAAAAATAGAATACTTGTTATATCTATTTTATATTTTCGTATTTAATTATTACATATTATTAAATAAATTAAAGAAATTACAATGATACAAATCCATTTTTTATTAAGATACTTTACAATTTGATTTTTACTATTTTTCCTATGGTTTGGAAAAAAAAAATATACATGTTATTTATAAAAATACATGAAATTAATTTATACTCAAAATCTAACTCAATTCCACTATTTTTAATATTATTTTTATAATTTAAATATATAAATCAATCATTCTTACACATCACATCAATTTATTTCATTATTTATCCACTCACATAGTTTTAACTAATTATCCTTTCACATCATATCTCTCATATTTTTACATCAAATCAATTTTAACTATTTTATTTCAAATATTATTTTAATATAAAATTTAAATCTCACTAACAACTAACCATACCACATTTCTTAAAATTAACCTTGATTAACCAAAAAAAACGTATTTTTAACAAATTAATTTGTAAATAAAGAATGCCATGGATATTTTTAGTGGCAAAAGCATTGTGTCAAAAGCAACTTTATTGTTAGAGAAGAAATTGAATTAATCCCTACATAAAAAAATGACAAGAAAAAAATTTTTTGGTGGGTGTAGCTTCACATCTGACCTGCCTATATATATACAGCAGCATATGGAGAGTTAATTTACTCATTCATTCTCCAGATACCAGAACAACACCATATTCAGATAGATAGGTAATTATAACCATCATCATCACTATCATCGATCGATCACCCAACAATGACATACTTAACAACAACTTTACTTGTAACTGCCCTCAATATTCTAGCTTCATTATTAATATTAGCTTACCCAACAAAAACAAAAACAATGGAGTTCAACTTCAACGCCACGGTAAACCACGTCGATCACGACAAACAGCTCAACAAAACCGAACTCCTGCGGCTGGCTCTCGACTGAAGTAGGAAGAGGCTGCAATGGCTCCAAGCAGCAGCCACAGATATTAACGCTGAAGCCCCCACTGCCTATAGTGGCGATCTCGAGTATTTCGCAAATCTCTCCATCGGGAATCCGCCGGTACCTTTCCTGGCCTTAATCGACACGGGCGACGGCCTAACATGGACCCAATGCGCACACTGCCGCCACTGCTCTGCACAGCCGACTCCCTTATTCAATCCCAAGAAGTCCAGCTCGTACACCGCGTTAAATTGCCCGAACGATAAATGCAAACTGCACGATCCCGATGGTTGCAATGGATTGCCGCCTGGCACCAAATGCAAGTACAGAAAAGTGTACCTAGATGGCACCGGGACCCGAGGCGACCTGGCCACCGAGACCCTCTGGTTTGGGGACGTCCACGTCCCCGGAGTCCTATTGGGCTGCGCATTTCACAGTTACGGAGATGTACTACGTGGAGGCACGGGGACCTTGGGCCTGATGCAGTGGAACGACAGCATTGTCTCCCAACTCGACGTGCGCGCCTTCTCCTATTGTCTGCCCAAGTTCGGCTCCAACGAGATCGGCCGTCTGTTTGTGGGTAGTGGGGCCCGCACGCCCCCATGTGCACTCACCACGCGGCTGCTCAGGTACTGATAGAGATAAAGATGTTTAGAATCTTCAATCTAATTATTTGTTTCCCTCTTTATTATTATTATTATTATTATTATTATTATTATTATTATTATTATTATTATTATTAGTGGGATTCTTGTTTTGTTGGACAAGTTAGTATTGTTATGATTCTTGTCTTGTTGGACAAGTTAGTATTAGGATTTTAGGAGCCTTATTTAAAGGTCTTTGGTGTTATTAAGTGGATTTTTTAAATGAAATAAGATTGTGAGTTTTGTGTGTTTTACAAGAGAGTATCTCGTTTATCCTTCTTATTCGTACGTTTTCCCTACATCAGGTACCCAGGCTACCACGGAAGCCTTTACCATCTCCATCTCCAGTGGATCACCATCAATGGAGTCCCCGTCCCCATCAACGCCTCCGCGTTCAGCGCGACAAACAACGATGGGTCAAGGGGTATGATCATCGACTCGGGAACAACGTTGACGTATCTCGAGAGGAGCACGTTCGACGCCGTTGCCCGGGAAATCACCCGCCAGATCAGACTCCCACGGACCAGCCATGGGTACCTTACCTTGTGCTACAAATGCCCGAAAGGCCACGCGGGGGGAATTCAGTTTCCGAAGATCGTGCTGGGATTCGAGGGGGCAGCCCTGGAGTTGCCGTCACAAAACTACTTCTTAATTTTAGAGGATAAGGGGATCATGTGCGTGATGATGGATGCTAGTGATTCGCCCTTATCCTTTTTTGGCAATTTTCAGCAGCAGAACACATTGGTGGTTTACGATCTGGCTAACCACAAACTATCTTTTGTTCCCAATACAACGTGTGACCATAATTAATAAGATTAACAATAAACACGGCCACAATAATGATAATAAATAAGGCTGAAATTTACTCCAAGGAAAATAATGTAATCATGACAACTATTAATACATATCAAATTTCGATTTCAGATGTATCATGCTCGTGTGATATTTTAAATGCCTGATTTTCAATTATATTACGTACTATATTATTAATTAATTCACTTTTTTTTAAGTTAAAAGTTATACCTTATGATAATTCTGATTATTATATTCATACCAATATTCCATATGGATCATCCACCGATAGTTTGTTGTTTTAATTATTTTGCAAATCGGTTTTCAATGTTTGCAGTTTATTAATTATGTATAGATTATTTTGGAAATTGATTTTATATACATTATGAGCCATTCTCAATTGAACCTACTTCTATATATATATATATATATAGAAAAATCTGATCAAATTAGAATAACATAAAGTGAAAGAAATAAAAATAAATTATAGCTGTTGGATATATCAACCATCCTAATTTCGTCAAACGCTCCAACTTCGGTTGTTGTTCCTATAATTATGAGTACTTTTACATTTTCATGCAGTGACATTTTCGTCATTTTGCACAGTATAATATTTCCATATTGTATATTTTCATCTGTATTAATGTGTATTTCGTCAAACATATTATGAATAATGTAGTGCGGTGACATTTTGGTAAATTTTTGAACTGTTAAATGTTTAGACGTAATCTTTGAAGACATTTGTAAGAAAATTTGAGTTCAAATAGACATTTTTGAATGTAGTATATGAGAGACAATTAGTTTTATCTCACAAGGAACTCAAAAAGCAAACAATGGGGAGTGAAGAAAACAGAATTGGGAGTGCAAACATATTTATTTTGCTCAGGACCGACATACAAAGTGTAAAATAGTGAAGAAAGTTGAAAGAAAAAAAGCTATTACAAAATATAATTATTTTAGATATACCATAGAAATTTGTTGCGGTAAAAAATCAAAAAGAATTTTCACCACTTGAGCCAGTGGTTTATGGTAGAGAATCATATAGATTATTTAAAATATAATAACTAGGATTTTATTTAGACCATATATACATCCATTTAAAACATAATAATAGGATTTTATTTAGGCCATCATTTGTTTAAGACAAATGAGCATGTACTAAGACAAATTTTCATTTTTTTTTTAAGCATAATGTTTTTTAATTAACACTTATATGTTATACATAAGTGTCTTACTAATCATATAATTAAAAGGAATCATTATATACCACTCCCCAAAACTTATTTTTATGATTCAAACAAATTGTTGTTAAACTTATTTTTATGATTCAAACAAATTGTTGTTTGTTGATTTTCCGTTGATGTTTATGATAGGCTTCGTGTTCATTTTCCCTTCTTATAAACTGACTGGGAATTATACTGAGCATGGGGAATTGATTTGGGTTTATCAACTATTGACAAGGGGGGAGAAGATGGAATAGAGACTTAATCCTATTTTTAATAAATCTGATGTTGCGACAATTCTAAAAATTCCTTTGAATCATTTCAATTTTGTGCAGATACTTTGGTGTGGCATCCAGATCCTACTGGAAATCTTAGTGTTAAATCAGCATACCAGAGGAACAAAAACAGAAGAATCAAGTCGAGAGCAGTTCTTGCAAGAGAAAGAAAGGAAAACATGGAATCTTAAGGTAAAGAATAATAAAGCATTTTATGTGGAGATGTTTGAATGATCTAATGCCAAATGGGGTGAATCTATGGAAAGGAAAGTTAAAGAAGAAAAGGTTTGTGGAGTGTGTGGAGAGGAGGAAACTACTCAACATATCTTCTTTAGATGTGAAAGAGTGGAAAAAGAAAAAAAAAAAAAAAAAAAAAGTCCAATCAGGTACTAGAAAATTGACTAACATTTCGAATAGTGTTTCGGAATATCACTTGTGAGTTAATCCATATTGTTTATATAGCAAATGTGCCTAGTTTATAAGTGATATGGGATATTATATAGCTGAGGAATAGACCGGTTTGCATCATCGGTCGAGCAACCTCGAAGTGGAGAAAACCGGATTGGGAGAAGGATGATAGACCAAAAAGAAGGAGATCGAGCAGAATAGCAGAACTGGTCGAGGATCAACCAGAAGGGAGGAGATCGAGCAGAATAGCAGAACTGGTCGAGGATTGACTAGAAGGGACTAGATCGAGCAGAATAGCAGAATTGATCGAGGATCGACCAAAGGGGAGGAGATCGAGCACTCAACAGGTGAAGAGCAATTTAGAGCGTGGCGTGAACGCGAGAAGGCGCGTGGATGACGTTGGAAGATCCCAACGGCCTGCACAGAGGAATAATCTCCCTCAGCTTAGAGGGACACGTGGCGAGAATATATTGGTGCAGAGTGATAGTGGCGAAAGCCACCCCTGACATCTCTGACACACACACACTATGAGTGTACGGACGGGCAGTACGGGCAGGACAGCTCACCAAAGCCGGGCAGTTTTTAGGGCAGGTATCTCAATCCTATATATATGGGAGTGGGTCTTTTCTTGTGACTTACGATTTATCCATTCTTTATTTTGGAAAATTGAACAAACACATACTGACTTAAGCATCGGAGGCTCTTCACCAGAAAACCCCTCCGGTGTGAGAGTTCTGTGCAAGAAAGCGGCGTTCTACCGGCGAGGAAGAAGGAGGCAAGCTGATTTCAAGCCGGTCGGAGTGTTTTGCGTTACCAATAAGCTTAATGATTTACTCCTCCTTCACACAGTTATTTTTCAAATAGAAATTCACTTAAATAGCAACTAGACTCATGTAAAAGTGTTACGATTGTATGAAAATCGCACCACTTCCCCCACTTGAGAACCATATGCTCAAAAGAATAATGCTACTTTCATATATAACATTTTGACACAACGGTTGACATAATTGATGTTTAAGAATACGGATTGTTGATTTTAAAGTTGACGTGAATCATGTGATGTGTGAAATCACAAGATCTCTTGTCATGTGTGCATTATATTAAACTCTGTATCATTCATTACGTTTGTGTAGCAAGGTCCTGCTCAAAATCATTCAGAATTCTTAAAATCCCAGAGATAACAAGTGCAGTGCTAACATAACAACAGAAATACAAAACCCTTCAATACGCACAACACAGTTGATTTGACGATCAAGTCTTTGAATGACAACACAAGATAAGATCACCAAATTTATCTGAACCACCAACAAGCAGAACTTCGAAACATTATTTGGTTCAAGTTTTCAATCTCCAATAATAAATGCAAGTCTCAAAACAATTTGTTTGTTCCCCCCAAATTCCAAAATATTCTACTGTTGACACTCCAATAACAAATTCCTGAAATATATGTAAAGAGAGATAGTATTTCCACATTTTATCTTCCCTCAACACCCAACATAAAATCAAGCATTAGATAGTTAATATAACACATGTTTCTTGTACCATGTTGGTCTTCTTTCCTTTCTCAATTCATAGTATTCTTCATCTTTTCTTTCTCAATTCATATTATTCTTCAGTTTTACGGTATGTATAAATTACCTTAAACTGCAGAAGAATGTATCTGGATAATATCATGCAGATACTAAAAATATTAAAACTTAAATCAATAATCTCAATTCATTTCTAGATCAACAACACAATAAGGAAAGTGTCAAGACCAAACTTGTATCGGTAAAGATAACAGAGAGCAGAAAACTCACGTGGAGGAATTCAACACACTTCTACCCAATATCTGATTGTTAAACAACCATACGAATGCTGAAAAGAGCTCAGTAAGCACGGCGCATTCCCTTCTTCGGCTTCTTAACAAAACTCAACCTCAGTTTTTTAAGACTTCTTCTCTTCCTGGCCATCTTCTCGGGAAATGTAACGTGAGGTGGTGGATATAAGATTATGGAGATTTTGGATGATATTCGACTGGTGTCGCTCGACGCAGTTATTATCCTCGCTCAATTTCCGGTGAAAAAAACGGTGGCAGACGGAGCTCCGACCGCCGTGGGTCAGTGTGAAGTTGTGTTGTGAGGTAAATTCGCGATGTTTTCTTTTCTTTTCTGTTGTTGTTTTCTTGAGTCAATACACATTGATGTTTTTGCATGTTTTGGGTAGTTTTGTCACTATTTTAACCGGAGCATGTCCTTCAAATGTTCTTCCGTTGAGCTGCGGTGTTGCTTGAATATGTAGAAGAAGTTTCATGTTTTCGAAATGCCCCCAAGCATTAGTATTCGGGGGAACTGTTTGCGTACTCTAAAATTTGGGATGAGGTTGCTCATGATTCTGGGAAAGTGCTTCAATTGCAGTGAATGAAAGCAACTCTTTATGCATTTTTAGCTTCTGTGACCAGTAAATGACAGTTAGAATGGAGATTTTGCAACTAAAATCCAAAGCCCGTTTCACGAGCATCTTTTTTCTGAACAACCTTAGCTATTATTTCAGCAATTATCTTTACTCTAATAAACAAAAACTATAAACAATTTGCTTGTAAATTTATGTCTCTTGTGCTTCTCATGCAATAAATTGCTTTTGAAGATGAGTAGGGTTGAAAAATATGAAGCTGGAAGATGAATTCATAGTTCAGTGTTTGTGTGCTCGAGTCCATTTTGGTAGCTTTTCTGAGATAAACAAGTAACAAGCAATAGCACTGATATGTCAGTTGAAGTATTCACTAACCTTAGATTGATTTCCCTGATTCATGATTCAGAGGCTTGGGAGGAAAGATTGTTTAGCTTTTCCATGAATATGATCAATCCTTCGAGAGCATTTTATGTTTAACGTGGTTTTACATAATCTTTTAAAGCAAATTCATCAACTAACGTGATAATTAATTTTCTTCAGTTAGACTTTCTTTGTTGAGCACTTGTGGTATTAATAAATAGCCACATGCAGTCGAGGGAACAAATACGAGAAAGAAAACATTTCTATAGTTTCTAACGCACGCACGTGTGGGCAAGTAACTGTGAAAACCCATTCTTTGGCTAGACGGAGGTAAAAGCCATTCAAGATTGAACAGAAAATTGGCAAACAATATGATGCTCCGTTTGTAATATATAATTTCAGTTAATTATTTTCTTTAACACCAGGGTTAGCAAACACATAGGTCAATCAAAACTTGTTAGGTAGATGCTATACATTTCTGAATATGTGCTTTGCTTTTCAATATTGCGCAGATTCAAAGGAATACTTGTATGACTGAAGTAATTTAGTTGCCTTCTGGTCAGATTCTTTTTCTCTTCTTTGTTTGAGGCAGATATGGTGTTTTTGCTTACATCACCTGCAATCCATCAAACACAGTTACTAAATGCATCCTCTCAGGTTTTGCTCTTTACTCTTTCATAACTGGAAACACAAGTTAACATCCATTCTTATATTTTTGCTAAATCAAAATCCGTGCATCAGCTAGGTTTTTATAGGCACGGTCGTCTCCAAAGTAATGTTACCTTCATTGTGAGGTCTGACAAAGTTCCTTTCTTCAACTCCTGTTAGCCAAGGTACTTTCTAATTTAAATCTTTTGATAAAATAAATACGGATTTAAGTTGGCATCTCAGATGAATTATGTGTCATGCTCAGTAGTTACATTCAAGAAATGTCCACGTTTCAATTAACTCTTGATCATTGACAAGGATCCGAAGTAGTAATGTGAACTATTTAGTCGAATTGCAGCGAAATTTGCATGTGAAACAATGGAAGTGCCAGTAGCAACCATTAAAGAAGAATGGAAAATATTTCCTCTCATATAGTTCTGATTCTTCTGAACTTCTATTTACATGAATATACTATATGAAGAATTTGACTCTGCATTTGCTATGTTTCCCCATTTAAACTACACCAATTCTTGTATTTCTAGCAGGTTTATGCATATCGTCCTTTGTTATTGTGCAGGAGCTTATTTCTGCCATTTTTTTTTTTTTTTTTTTTGAATAGTTTTTTTTTTTTTTTTTTTTTTTGAATACATAGACTTGCAAAACTTGGATTAACATGCCTTTTTATGTTTATGACAGCTGGACCTGGCCGACGCCAGCTCCTTGCCATCGGGACGACAATTGCCCCATGGTTATTCTTTTGTCAGCAGACTCCAAATTCGTGTATGCCATTTTCTTGAGGAACTTCTGGGTTTTCAACTTGACCAATTCTCTGTCTATGCAATATGAACCTTACCGCAGCTCATGATTTCCTTTTTTACGTCTCCGTTCTTATATGCTGGTCATGTATTATTGCTCTAAGTTATACTCCCCCCATCCTGAACTTATCGACGTTTTAGAACTACTGTTTGTTTGTCTACTTACGCTCATAAATCAGTTAGTTGAAGATTAGTAAATGAAAGCTAATTGAAAAGAAAATTGAAAATTAAACCGTGAAAAATCATAAATCAACAGTTGTTTTGAGACATGTCTAGAGCTGAAAGGACAAATTATTTGTAATGAGGGAAAGTATATATCACCAAACACCATCAGCAGCAGCAATACTTCCCACATTCTAGACAAAGTATGGTAAATTTGCAATAGCATGTTGCGTGTGTTTATAGATATTGAAATATTCCTTTCAGTTGATTGTTTACTGGGAGAACTTAAAAAAGTCTAAGAGTGTGGTGTTGGTTCAGTTGCTGCAGAAACAAAGAAGGGATTTCTATTGGTTACAGATAGGAAGGATGGATACAATTTTCTGTATCCCTTTGGATGGCAGGTGGGTCCCATAACTTCCATTTACTTGACAGCATTTTCCATTTTTTTGCCATATTCATCTAATTCTGCCTTTATCTTTTGTTGATGAGTCAGGAGGTAATTGTTCAAGGGCAGGACAAAGTCTTCAAAGATGTGATTGAGCCTCTGGAAAGTGTCAGCGTAAATATGATCCCTACTGCCAAGCAGGATGTACGTGAATTTGGACCTCCAAAGGAGGTTAGCAAACTAGTCGAACTCGTTTGAAATAACTTTTTTATGCTGAAGGGAGTCATGATGCTGCTCGAGTATTGTGTGATCTCTGTGTTACAAATTCTTTGTCGAACTTTCTTCTTTGTCAACTGTGAACTACTGCCATATTGTTATTTGATGTCATTTGTTAGTCATAATGAGATTCTGGGGGTGCTTAATATTTTGCATTTTCTGTCCAGGTTGCTGAAACTTTAATAAAAAATGTCTTGGCTTCTCCTTCCCAAAAGACAAAACTGATCGAGGCATCAGAGGTAAGTTTTTATTTCTTCTTCTCATTTACACGCTGCGACTTGTATTTAGCAAATGGGAAATTCATTATTTTCAACGTGGGACTAAAAAAGAAAAACGAAAAAGGAAAGGGCGAATTGACTTCTTTTAGCTTCTTCACTTTCTCGTTTCTTTCACGATCATGGAAGTGTCCAACTTACTTTGTGCTGGTGACCGTCAACATCTTCCTGTCTGATTCGTGTAAAATTTTACCTCTTCTAAATTTTCTGAAGTTTCATGTACCCTATTACAAGTGCTTATGAGCTTCTTTTGCTACACATTTTTTCTCACCATTAGAAGGATTCTCTTTTATATTTAATCTTTTCTAAATTCCATGTGGTGTATATGCTCGACTGCAGTTCGAATTTTAAAAAAGTGCAGCTTAATATAAGTATCCTGAGAAGATAAAATGAAATGAATAGCTGAAAAGATGAATCTTACACTACATCTTCCGCATGATCCGACACAATTTTTTGCCTTCTTTTATAGATTTCTTCTGTGTTAATATGATGAATTGATAGTTTAATATTAACCTTCCTCACGTGCTGAATCTATTTCCATTTTGCAGCATGAAGTGGAGGGCAAAGCTTATTACACGTTCGAGTTCACCGCACAAGCTCCAAACTACACACGTCATGCTCTTAGCACAATCTGTATTGGCAATGGTATGAAAAAATGCACAATTTTGGTCAAAACATTCGTTTCTTCTTTTTTTTTTTCTGCATTTATGCTTACAAACTTGGGGTAAATTTTCTCTGCAGGAAAGTTCTACACGCTGACAACAGGGGCGAACGAGAGGAGATGGGAGAAAATGAAAGACAGGCTGAAAACCGTGGTAGACTCCTTCCAGATTTTCAATGTCTAATGTCGAAATCCGTATGTTGCTCTTTTGTTCACATGGTAAACTATCTAACACGTTTTTGTTTGTATTTATTAATTAGACATGTAATTCTATCATATAAAAATTATTATTTTTTCTTAAGATATTTTTATCATTCAAAATTAATTGAGATTTAAATTTATTTTAACCATGCAACGTTTACATTAGTAACATGAATAAAATAATTTATATATTTGTGGCATATATTAAGAAAATTAATATAAATAAAAAAATTATTGGTGTTTCTGATTTTTAGAAAAAAAAAATGTGTCAATCATATTTTTCTTCCAACAATGCAACCAAACATAGCGGTTACAGCTCTGAATGTATCAATCAACTTTAAGTTCCAACATTAGCCGTTAAACATTTGAATATTTGCTACCAAATTTAGAATTAATTTAGTAACTGATCCAAAAAATAAATAATAAAAATATATATATTAACGTGTAACGGTTTTAGCAGATTAGTGAGTAACTAATTAAAAAAATATAACTCCTTTTGTAGGGAAATGAAAATAAGTTTTATTAAATGTTTTATTAGATGCATCAGCTAGTAATTTATAATTATATATATATATATATATATATATTTTGCTTCTTCCTGCTAATGAAAATGGAGTTTTTCTCTCCAATTATGTTTTCTGGTTTTTGGCTCTACCATTCAACATAGTATAAAAAGCTTGAAAATTAAACAAAAACAGCACGAAATACCGCGTGCAACACGGTTGTGACAAGAGGTCGCAACATGAACGACAATGGAGATGAAAGTGAGAATCGATCAATGATTATGATGTTGGAGGATCCTTTGTCATTGCACAATTTCGATCATCCTGATATGGCTTGAGTCTCGACATTTGTCTGGTTCGAACTATCAATGATGGCGGAGAGCTATGTCGATCGCGCTTGGTGCAAAGACGAAGTTCGGTTTTGTAGATGGTCAAGTGAATAGACCAGATCCTGTAGCACCCCCAAATTTTTACTACTAAAAATCTAATAAGTCTTTGGCGTATTTAAAACTAATTTTTTCAAAGGCAACTAATCAAAGAGGGCACCACAACACAAATTTTCCAAAATATGCCACAAAACTCAACTTTATTCTCAACTAATGTCATTTGTGTTGGGTTCGCTATACTGTACGGATTAAAATCGCAGCGGAAATTATACAATATAATTATCATTTATCAAATAAATACTTAATCCGTAAGTATAAATAGCGAATAAAATGATCGGCATCTTTTAAAATCACGTAAAAATACGAATTTTGATTTGTAGAGAATTTCGAAAATTACCTTTAATTTTCTTCAAATAGCGACGATGAAGAGGAAATCAATTCCCGGTTATGTGGCTATCACCGTCTTCTTATTCCGTAAGGGATCCAAGTGTCTCCCCTCTAATCGAGTCCACCTTTTGGATTCCGACTCCGTGAACAATTTCTTCGCTAGTAGAAATTTTCCGGTATTAAATCGGTATAAGGAATTAATTTAAGAGGAGATTTTTTTTTTTTAATTTTGTTTTGCAAAAGCCAAGAGCATTAATGCTCTTTTTGCAAAAAGCTAATGGGAGAGTCTTGTGTGTTTTACATCTCATGTATGCACACATATATGTAGCAATGAGGTTGTTTTAGAAAAGACAAAAACCATGTAGAACATATAACATGGAACAAAGCATCTTACAACCCACAACCTTTTTATTAATTAAGATGAGTTGGATCGAACAACTCCCATCTAATATTTTTTTTTTTAATCTTTAATCTTAATTAAAGATTAAATAAAGATAATGACATATAATTTATGAAACTAACTTTCAAATTAATTGATCAAAATCTTATCTCTCATATAAAATAAAATCTCCTCTTTTATGTAGGCTTTTAATATATAATCATATTAATATTTGGATTTGAAATTTTAAAGTCCAACTTTAAAATTCAACTATTAATTTAGTAATTCCAATAATTACTTAATTAATATCCAAAGCCTAATTAATCAATCTAATTGATTAATTTATTATATTTCTTTAATTGACTTCTAATCAAAATTAGATTTAATTAAATAATCAAATTATTTAATTAAGTCTTGTCAATTAATCCAACTATTAGAAATACCAATTTCAAAATAGTCATCATCCAAAATTTGGTGTGACCCTTTTAGGTTCACAATTAACACTAGTAGTGGGTTTACAACCTGTTTGTAATTTAAATTAATCTAATTAATTTATATTCTTGAAATTAACTCCTTAATTTCAAGAACCCACAAATCATGGGAACACCTAGCAAGTAGCATGATTATCTAGTGTTAAGTGAAATAGCGAGTAAACCTTTTCAATTTCAAGTGCATACATGTAAAATCCTTTCGACAACTAATTTTCCGATTAAATCTTGGGCATGGATTTATAAGTCGAAACCCAATTGATTTAATAACTATGAATTCATTTCAAGTTTAGTGATTCGTTTATGAATCCATATTCATCATGCCTTGGCCAAGGTCTTTGAATCACAAACTATGAAAAACATAGGAAATTCACTTATCCACATAAGTGTCGAACTCTTTGTTGGCCACAGATAAACCTCCATACATATTAATACAATACCCAAAATATCCCTTTTATGATTGTCCAGCAATCAAAGGATAAATCAAAGTAAAGCACAACATGCACAAGATTACTATCGTGCCTCAAGTCAAAAGATCAGTCATGTACTATTGCAACATGAAAATTCTTATTCGACAGTTAAAACTTCCAGTTAAGAATTTTCATCGGGCCATGTTCAGTGAACTTGTTCTCCAACAAGCACCCGCATATATGCATTCGCGTCCACACGCTAATGTTGATGGAATGCAACATTCTCATCCGATGAGCATACATCATATGCACAAGTCTTACCGGGTTATTCGATGTCCTGTCTCGAAACACCCATCGACTTGGAACTTATTTAAGATCACAGCTTTAAAGACAAGTTCCATGATTGCCATCAAATGCGCAACCATGCCTCATAGCTAATAATGATCTAAGAACTGTATCATATGTGCAAATATAGAATAAATGCAAATACATAAGATAAAGCTATGCCTCAAAATAATATAATTTCCAATAAATTGTTTTATAAGTAGAAATAAATCCAATCTGATTGGAACGCCGGGCATTCTACTCTAACAGCTTGTACAAGTCAACTTTGGGAACATAACTTCAACAATTCACAATCTCAAAACTTCACATGAATTATCTCAATGCCATAATATAAATAATGACAATTAAACAATATACATCCAATTCAAAATTCAAGTCATAAGCGTATGAAATAACCATGAATAATAATTAGTTCTACCAAGCCAAGTCATATTCAAATATCTCAATAAACATAAAACATCAAAAAAGTTTCAAAACATGACCACTCCACCATCCCGTATCCCGACACCAACTCGATCAACTTGAAAAAGGGTAAATGAGGGGGTGAGCAACCACAGCTCAGTGGGCAATAATTGCGACAACTAATCAGGTTACTAACCAATATCACCATAATTGTACACACGCCGACATGCATTTACTTCCCAGCTTCAAGCCCCCATGGTCTACTCGGACTTGTGGCTCTTATTTCAAACCTCTATGGTATACCCGACTTAGTGGCTCTTATATATACACCGAACATACGTCACATACATGGAAACCCGTATATTTGCACATCGACCTGAGAATAACTTATCCGAAGGCCTATGAATAATTTGCCCAGAGGCCATAAACAATGATGTCGCGTGACTCTAGAGCACCTAGTATATTAGCCCGTCGGCCCTAATAATAGTGCTCATAGGCACAATGAGATGTACATATAATCATAATCATATCAAGCGATTAAAATGAGTAGAAGCGTTGAATACCCCGCCTCAACTTTGAAGGATGCAAATGATGAATGATGAAATGCTCAAAGTGCTCCTCGAAGACTCAGCTCTTTGAAATCTACATGAATAAATTAATTATCTTAAGCATAATATTTCTCCACATAGCATAAATGTAATTTTTGAAATTTATTTAATTAAATAAAAAGAGAGAATTAGACAGGTGAGTGACCTAATCAATCAGGAAAAAAAAGAGTGGGATAGAGAGTTAATTTTACAAACCTTTAATCCTATTGATGCAGAACTCATTCTGACTATTCCAATCAGTCATCATGGTGGGAAAGACTTCTTGGTATGGCACTGGGATCAGAAGGGCAGATTTTCAGTGAAGAGTGCTTATGAAACAATCAGGAGACACAGAAGAATGCAAGAAGTAGGTGAACCAAGTGATGGAAGGAAATATGAGAAAAAAATGTGGAGAATCACATGGTTTCTGCCAATCCCACCGAAAATCAAATTGTTCATTTGGAGGTGTTGGCACGGGTTTATAGCAACTAAGCAGCAGATGGCAAATGGCGGTATGGAATTGGATACTAGGTGTGATATTTGTGGTGAGCATGAAGAAAGTATAGAACACCTTTTCCTCAAGTGCTCAAGAGTAGCTGTCTGTTGGAAGTTATGTGGTTTATGGTGGCAAGAGAAGCAGGTGAACATCCAAAGCTTTAAAGATTGGTGGATAGGGCTGAGTAATATCAAGGATGAGAATTTCAGGACTGAGAGATTGAGCTTAACAGCATTTATGTTGTGGAGAATTTGGATCAGTAGAAATGAGTGGACTTTTAACAAGGTCAGGGACGCAGAGTGGACAACTGCAATGATGGCCAAGGAAAATGGATGGAGTTCAGGGTAGCCAATGAAGATTTGCAGGGTCAAAATTCATCACATCAACTACAAAGAATACCTCAGGTAGAGCAATTTTCCAGGGAAGTAGGACAGGTTAGTTGCTCTGTCAGTGCTTCACTCTCTACAAGGGGTAAACTTGGTTTGGGTGGTGCGGCTGTGAGGGATGAACAGGAGATTTTCACATGGGCCACTGGAGAAGCTGGTAGAATGGAGACCACAGAAGGGATGCTAAGCACAATCAGGTACATGTTTCAAAAGTTGAAGGAGATGAAGATCAAGAATGTGGTCTGTTTCATACCAGATTTGAATGTGGCTAAATTGTTGAGAAACCAAGTAGAATGTCAGTCTAGGTTCAAAAGTATTATATTTGATATTTGGTGGCTTAGTAAAGATGGGTTATGTTGTAACTTTGTATTTGACCCAGGAGAATGTACGGGTAGTTTTGTTTTAGCTTTAGATGCGGCGGACGAGCAGTAAATGTGTACTGTTTCGGTTATGGGATAGTTTGTTCTTACGGGTTATGTCGGGTTCAGTGGAACCTTCGGTTGTAAAACGTTATTTTGATTTTATTGCATTGTTATTGGGAAAAAAAAAATGAGCAAATGAGCATGTATTAAGACAAATTTCCATTTCTTTTAAAGTATAATGTTTTTAGTTAACACTTATATGTTATACATAATTGTTTTACTAATCGTATAATTAAAAGGAATCGTTATATACCACTCCCCAAAATCTTGTTCTTTGATTCAAACACATTATTGTTTCTTGTTTGTTCATTTTCCGTTGATGTTCATCATTGGCTTCGTGTAGCCTAAAAAAAAAAAATGAACAAGAGGATCCACCGAGGGCATTTACAATGTCCTCCTCAGGACAGTGGAGATGTAAAATGAAACCAGGTATGATGAAGGATCTATAATAACTTCATTATCTGTCTAATCAGGAAATAATTTAAAATTCTTTAATGAAGCCCTTCTGATTAAACAGGGAAACATACGAGTGAAAAAGATAAAAGAGATTTCAATCTCAAATGCGATATTCTTATTAGCATACGAATTGGAGAAGATAAAATAAATTTCAATCTCAAATACGATATTTTTATTCAGTCATTAACTGAAGAGAACAAAATAAGAGAACTATTTAGATAAGACTCCTCAAATCCTAAATTTCTAACTTGTCCAACAAGACAATGTCTAATAAAGTAATAAATAAATAAGTTTCTTAAGCAACACGCTGCACTTTATACAATCCACAATTAATGTTGATCGCTCCCGCCAAAATACCACAACATCACAAATCTAAAAAATATATCTGCATAATATAATTTAACATCCACCACATCATCCATACACAAAAAAACACGAGCATGCTACCGTACCAAATGTGCACTTTATATATCTACATGTTACACTTTATAAAGCAACACGGTGCACTTTATAAAATAACACGCTACACTTTATCACGAAACCCCACAATAAAATACCGCACAACATACATAAAAAAAAAATGATTGACATAATATTTAATATATTTTGTTATATTTTTTTGCATATACATTTTAGGTCTTTTCAAAATATGTATATATATAATGCTAAAAGATTAAATATATTTTTATAATATAACTAAATAATTATTTTTATTATTCGTGGTGTTTTGATTGACCGATAGAATAAATCCATAATGTCAGTTTATTTTTAGAGAGTGAATCATTAAAAAATGAATGCACTGTGAGTGAACAATATATAGTAATAGAAGGTTTGCACATCAATAACTCTTTAATTACATAATATCTACTAAAATGAAAGAATTAATTTTTTTATTTGAAATTTTATATTTTAGTTCGATTAGCTATATTTATTTTTAAATCACAATTATTTTAGCTTGGTGTCAGAATTATTTTTTCCAAATAACCGAAATAATTGAAACGACCGAATTATGTGAAAAATATTATTATTATTTTGTATAATTTTATGTCTTGCGTTTGCACATTAAGGTTATACAAATTGCACAATACTGACTATTGGATTGCACAATATCAAATTGTTTCGACCAAGCTAATAATCTTAGTTCAATTTTTTAGATCTCATTTCAATTGCCATTTTTATAAATTTAAAAACAAGATTATACCGATTCAAAATCAATTTTTTTTTTATTTAGATAATCGGACAACCAAACTATATAAAAAAAAGTATTATTTTTATTATTATATTTTTTTTGTTAAAGTATTATTAATTTTTAGTCATGAAAAATTAAAAAATACCAAACATTAAATGAGGATATTAAAATATTAATTATATTTTGATTATTTACAAATTAACATGAGCTCAATTGTAATATAAAAAAATTGTTGAAACTACACCTATGCCCCTAAGACTTTTCAAATTTACAAAACTAAGTCCCTATTCTCAATCTGAAAATCAAACTACTTTTCCTAAACATTCAATTTGGCCGCCGTCGAGAACCTCATCCTGCGGCCACCGAGGACCTTCACCGTCTAGTGAACACATTTTCGACCACCGTTCCGATGTCAGACGCCTCCATCATCGGACACCTCGATTTCACCAGCAAAAAATAATTTCAGTACATACTCTCCGCCGTCGACATGGTGGCACAAGCCGTGAAGGCCAGCGTGAAAGTCAACAGGCTGGTGGTCGCGCTTGGCCGAAGTGGCGTCAGGACTGGTGGCCGTAAATGTCATCGTGGCGCTCAACGGGACTGTTTCAGCAGCGGATATGATGATAACGGCGACAGGATGGGCCGGGAAGACGGCAGCAACGGGCTGAGACTTTGGCGGGGTCGTGGTGTGTGCAGTGTTCATGCTGGGGTCCAACTGAGGATGGTGGCGTCGTCGATTGGTTCGGCGAAGGTCGGGGATGTCGATGGACGAGGCGATGGAGACTTCTCCGGCGACTGCGGCAGCGGACTGGAGGTCCGGATGTGCGTGTGAAACGATTGTGTGTGTGCAGTGTGTGATGTGTGTGTGTGTGTGTGCACTGTGCGGAGTCTGTGTGCGTCAGTGTGTGTGTGAGAGAAAAACTGGTGTGTGGGAGGGAGAGAGGTGACGTGGTGAGTGGGTTTGGGGTGAGTCCCAAAGGCAAGTGGAATTGTGGCAAATGACCTATTTAACCTTACTAAGTGGTCAAATACATATATTTGACCCTAATATGTCCATTTATTTACCACAATGCCATCTCATGTTTGACTGACATTATTAATGTTTGACTTGATCATAGCCATTGACTTGATGGATCCAGTTGTCCATAGTCGACTATGGACAAGAGAGAAAGAGAGAGAGAGAGAGAGAGAAGGGATCATATGATAATGATAGATAGTGAAACAAATAAGAATGACGTCATTCTTATTTGTTTCACTATCTATCAGTATCATATCATCTCTTCTCTCTCTCATATATATATATATATATATATATATAGGAAAGAGTTCAAAGGAGAACTCTATGTGAGTGTAAGAACTATGAACCAATCCTAGCCATTAATTATATTAATGTTGATGGTCCTGATTGTTTCAAATATTTTTGGTATTACTTGTTCAAAACACTACACTTGATTAGGAGTGTCTATTTTAGTCAACATTATTGATTAGTAATTACATTAGTGCATATTTTTAAGGGAGAATTGTTCATACTTAATTTGAAATGGTCATATTTAGTTAGTTTTCTTTCCACACAAATGTTTTAACTCAACTAGAAAAAAACATTTGAAGGGAACCACATAATAATACATCTAACCAAAAATAAAATAAAATAAAATAAGCAACTAAAAACTTGACATACACAATCCGTCCATTTCAAAAAAAAAATAGAAAGAACCATCTAAAAAAATATATATTTGTATTTTTTTATCCCAAATTGTGTGCTATAATACATAAAAATTCATTATAAATAAAAATCAAAATTGGCAAAGTACTGTGAACTCAAATAAGTTTTTTAGCAACAATTTGAGATAAAATTAGCGAAATTCTTTATACAATATAGCACATCTTATATTGCTATTTTTGTCTCACCACGATGCTACTTTTATCCGATCATGATGCTATTTTGATGATCTATACATATATAATAAGAATTACCATTTAACAAAAATAGTAGCAAAAAAATAGGAGAGAATTTAATGCAACCTATTTTTTTTTTCCGAAACGATAGAGCTTATATATAAGAGCACAAAAGTGCAACAAAAACAAATTACAAGACCCCAACAGGGTAATACCTAAGGCCCCAACAGGGTAATGAGACAGGGGCCACCAGCCCAAACCAAAAACACGCCTAAAAGCCACAAAAATAACAAACTGAGAGGACACGCACATGGCGGCCTAGAGAACTCAACAAAAAGAAAAAAAAGGAAAATGAAACACAGAGCCACTGCACAATGCCTAGCCTGAATTCATCTTCCAAACAAAAGCAAACAAACACACCAACCAAGACTCAACAAATACACACAAACAAACACTGAAACAAACAAACAAACACTGAAAGTACAATTAGAAAGCCCTTCCCCAATCGGTATAACACGCCAAACACAACAATGGCCGAGTGACCCGAGCTCCCAACTCAGAAACTGCAATAGAGCGCCTAACTGAGTCAGGAAACATCGGGCACAACCCTTGTCCAATCGAACAAACTCCACTAGCACCCCGGAGACCAAACACACCATCCAAACCAATCATCAACAATGGTCCGAGCCTCGAGCAAATTTGTCCGGTCCAGTAGGCGCCGACCGACAACCGGAACCAGGCAAGTCGACAACAAACCGACACCCCGAACCCTGTCTTTCGAGCACCGAATCGACATTAACCTCGCGCGCGAATTGGAGCAGATTCTCTCGGACGAGACAGAGCTCGAGTTGCGAGTGGCGGCGAACGGGGACAAGGGCGGTGATAGGGTCGTCAACAGCCGAAACCAGAGCCTCCCCGCAACCTATACCTGAGCCAACCAAATCCCCAAACCAGAGCCAACAATCGCGACTTCGATCAGCAGTGAAGTACAAATTGGACGGACGAGTCTCCACCCCTAACCCTAGATTGGGAAATCGGGGCCGCAGCCCTCTCCGGAAGAGCGCCCGAGGCCGCCGCGGCGGAGATACCGGAGGAGGAATAGCCGGCCGCCACTAGCTGCCAGTTCCGAGGCGAGAACCGGAAACTCGGCGCGACCTTCTCCCCGGCGAAAAAGCATCCTCCGATCAGTGCATCTTCATAGAAAAGGCCGCGAAGGCCAGGGGAGCTACCACCGTGTGCTCGCCGGCCCAACCGGGGAAGACGATGGAAAAATCACAGAGGAGCGGCGACGGGAGAGGATTTTCGAGCGGCGACGGGAAGATTTTTTAGAGAGAGGATTTTTATCGCCTTTTATGCTTGGATTAATGCATAAATAGTAACTTTTATTTATTTTTTATTTTTATCTTTGAAAAATCATACAACATTTAATGTTGCATTAACTTTTTGGCTTTAATTTATTTTATTATTTA